GGGGGGCACTGACACACACCTGACAAAGGTGGAGCTGCAGAGTATGGGAGGGGGGGTCTGCTTGCCCTTTGGAGCTGCAGGTGAAAGCTTTCTGGACGGGCAGACGGAGGGAGGCCGGAGGCAGGGCCTGGCCTTCTGGGCACCCGGCCCCTCCTCAGGCTTGGCCTCTTGGCAGACGCTTCATTCAGACCAGTGGGCACCACCCAGGCGTCTCCGGTGTCAGGGCCTTGGGAGGTGTCCCGAACTGAAAGGCGCTGGGGTGCTCCGCATTCTGTCTGGGGCGGAGAGCAGGAAGCCCTTGCCTGCACCTTTTTCTGGCAGCGACGTCTCTGGGAAGGAAGCTCTTCCTCCCCCCTCCCTGCACCATCGGTGAACAGGCAGGCATGGCTGAAAGGCAAGCGCTCCACACATGCCCAGGAGCACCTTTCTCGGTTGGACCATAGGCGTTCTGTGGTGCACCCTGGAGCTCCCACCGTGCCAGCAAAGGTTTTCCCCTTGGGCTGCCTCAAGCTTTAGACTCTCGCTGCTGCTGCTGCCGGCAGCCAGCTGGCAGAGGAAGTCAGGGCTGCCCGGGGACCCCCCACCCACCCACCAAAACACTCTCTTCTGCCCGATCCCTCTTCCCTGGACCCTCCATTAGCAACAGGGAGTGCGAGCAGATGGAGGATCTGGCGCGCCTTCTTTTCCAGCAACTAGACAAAATCCAGGCGATCATCAGCCAGCCTGACCCCTGCTTCTATACCGAAGCCACATCTGTTTTGGTCCAGGGGCAAAGGCTGCTCGTTTTGGGAGCCGGGCTGGAGGGATCCCTGCTGGCAGAGAAGGCTTCCTTTCAGGGAAGTCCCTCCCAGCGAGGCGACCCTTTTCAGAGCAACCAGACGCGGTCCTTGATCACCATCAGATGGCACCCCGAGCGAGCCTTTGGGATTCCTGAGGAACGCAGGGGCTGGGAAGAGGCTCTCCAAGCCATGAAACAGGATCATGGGGGGGGGCGGGGAGAGGGGGAGCACAGAGCCCTCAGGACCAAGAAGTAAATGTCCCTCGGAGGCAGACAGTCCTGAGCAAGGCGGAGCAGGCCCTGGGGAGAAGGAGCCCCCCCTCTCCCCCATCACCCTCCTTGCCAAAGGCCACTTCGGCCTCTGCTCCCTTTGCTTGGCCACCCAAGAACCGGTGCAGGGGACCTTTTATTTATTTTTATTTCTTTATTTATTCTACTTATATCTCGCCTATCTGGTCTTGCAACCACTCTAGGCAGCTTACAGACACATAAAACAGGAAATAAACATAAACAAAAAGAAATTATTACATTTCCACGGATAACGAGGACAGCACCCGCAGGAGGCAGGTGGGCTCCTCCTCCCCCTGGCCCTGTCACACCTGCTAAGGCTGCCCCAAGAGTCCCCAGGCAAGGAGCCAGACCTCTTCCCTTCCCCCCTCCCCCCCCCCCGGGCCAGGCCACCCAGGTGGTCGAATGGAGACCAGCCAGGCGGCTGGATCTCTAAATGGAGGTGACGGGGCTTTGATTTGTGCCCAGAAGGGGAAGGGTACCCAGGGTGGGGGTTGAGGAGAGCAGAGCAGAGTGGGAAGGGGCCTCTAAGGCCATCGAGTCCAACCCCCTTGCAAACCAAAGCAGATGGTTTCTTCCATCTGGCGGGTCCGGCACCTTCAGCAGAATTTCTTTTTCTGGAGCACAGGAAGGCTTCTGCAGCAGAGTCCCCTGCAAGCCCCAAAACTCCAGGGGGGGGGGGCTCCCTGTTCTCTGGAGAAATAAACCAGGCAGCAGCTGAGCTTTACTAAAACCACTGCTTAGCTTTATGGAGGACACGTAGTTGATAAAAAATCCGCTCAGCTGAGGAAGTGCCCCTCCCCTTGGGAGGCTCCTCCTGACATCGGGGGGGGGGCAGGTTCTCGCCCCCTGAATCCATGGCTTCAGATCCTCCCCTCTGGAGCCATGGGGGTGGGGATGGGGTAAACTCTTGCCCCCCATCCCATGGGGCAGCCCTTCCAGCCGTTGAGGATGGGACTCCTATCACAACATCTCTCTGCCTTCTCTCTCCCAGGCTATCCAACTCCTTCCAACAGTCTCGGTTTCCAGACCCTCTTCTGCCTTCTTGGTGAATCTTCCTTGGACATACAGTATCTTGACTTCACAATATCCTTCTTAAACTGAACCGGACGGGGTGTTGCAGGGAGGCAACACGGGGCCGAAGAAGAAGTTAAGCTGTGCCGTCGCTTCCCTGCGTCTTGACACTCTTCTTCTGGTGATGCAGCCTACAATGAATAACGATCATCACCATCATCATCACTGTGTGTTGTCAAGTTGATTCCGACTGGTGCCAACATATCCTCAATGTGCCTCATTACAATTTCTGAAGAGAAAAGGCTCCACAGTTTGGATCCACCCCCAGAACATGCCGAATGGTACCCCTTGGAGGTGGCTGAGCAGAGAGTTGCCCTGCGGGAGGCAGTCCATGCTCGTGCTGTGGTTTATTCCCTAACATGAAAGGCAGTCGCAGGGCAGAAAAGCAGCCAACGCCTGGTAATGAAATGGAGCTTCGCCACCTCAGGGCAAACCCAGGGACCGATTGGACGGTAGGCCAGCCTCCGAACCCGGCTCTTCCTGGATGCAGGTGCCAGGCCAGCCACCTCTCAGCCATCCCCCCCCCACTCCCACCCCCAGGGACATGAGGACCAGCAAGTTGAGATCCAGGTCTGTTCACAGACCAGAACCTCAGTGCTGTCCCAAAGCCTTTCACAATCTCCTTGTTATCCCAGATGCTTGTTTTTCTTGAAGTTCCCCTTTCAATTTCCAGCAACAACCAACTTCCTGCAGAAATTCAAAGGAGGAACATGATTAAAACCAGAAACATCTAGCCATGAGGTTTACTCCGAAGCAGGACCCACCAAGCTTTAGGGGATGTGCATCTCATTTTTATTTATTGGTCTGTTTGTTTATTATACCACCCATCTGGTCAAAGGCCACTCTGGGTAGACACAAACAATGTAATTAAAATACAATTAAACAGAACAGAAAATAAAAATAATAAGATTCCAATCAGCAATGCAATCAAGAATTCAACTATATTTGAATTTTATAAAATTAAAACATTTAAAATGGTGGGTTCTAGGGAAAAAGAGTAACAATTCCAATTGCTAAATAGAGTGCCCAGTTCCATCCCCCACACACTTGAGGTGGAGGATGATGGGGGGGGGGACACCATTCTTGGATATGTGAGATTTAGGCACCGCCAGCCCTGCGTCCCGAGAGACCCACCCCCAAGATCATCCGCCCCCTCTCCTGGGGTCCGATCACCACGGGCGGTTGTGTGAAAGCGAGGCCGGAAAGGAGAAGGAACAGCGAGGACGCGGGTTCCTTGGAAAGGCGGCGGCGGCGGCGCGGGAGGAGGGAGCGCTTCCCTTCCCGGGGGCGCCCTGGAGTGGACGGTGCCAGAAAAGAACGGGCACCGCCGGTCCCGGATCCATTCGAGCCTGAACGCGCTCTCGGGAGGCCACCGCGTGGAAACTGAGGCTGCCCTGCTTTTGGGCACCTCCCGAGAAGGCAAGGAAGGGGATTCTCCGGCGGGGGGTGGGGGGGAGAGAGACGGAATAACGCTGG